TGAACTGTTTTTGATACTGGATTTTGTTATTGGATTATCCCTGGACTAAAAACTTACTGATCTTACCTGTGAATGACTTTGGACTGCTTATTTTGAACTTTGCTTGAACCTTTCTGGAAGTAAAAACCTACATTTACTGTACAGTGTATCTGTGTGCTGTGTGTGTATTATTCAAACACTACTCTCAAATATGTCTCCCTGTCTGCGCTCATTCTCCTAATGGGGAATTACCTCAACAGATGGGGAGAGAGGGAAGGAGGGAGGAAAAAGTGAATGAGAGATATGGATGGATGGATAGATACATGGAAGGAGGGAGAGAGAAAAAAAAAGGAGAGGAAGGAAGGACACAAACCCTAGCTTCAGAAGAATCTGAAACAGCATAGCAATCTAAGGCTGGAAGGGAACTTGGAGGTCATCTTCTAGTCCAACCCCCAGCTCCAGCAGGAGATCCTTACAGAATCATAGAATAGCAGGGTTAGAAGGGAGTGTGTGTGTGTGTGTGTGTGTGTGTGTGCGCGCGCGCGCATGGCTGTCAAAACTCCAAAAACAGGTCAAGTAGCTCTGGGGAGGTCAGTTGTAAATTAGAACACTTGCTAAGCAACCTGCCATTAAGCGAGGACCACTTGTATTTGGTTTGCCAGTCACATGGCCACCTGGCCACGCCCACCGTTACGTGACCAAGCCATGCCCACAAATTAGGCCATGCCCACAGAACCGGTTAAGAAATTTGGATCCCACCACTGATGTGAATCTTTCGTAGTTATCGGAATCAACCCTGCACTCTTAACAGATTGGTTAAATAAACCACAGCTGGATGGGTTCCCACAACATATTCAGCCACAAACCAGAAGTGGGCAGCCACAGCCTTCAAACCCACACACCCATGTGGGAAAGACAGGCAGACGGTAGTGCGATGCATTTGAAAGACCCCGGTAGTTAAAAAAAATGACAAACAAAATCTCCCAAAAATCTCCTTCCCAAACCATATGGAGATGAATAATATGGACTTGCCCACTTTGTTTCAATGACACACACACAAACATTCATGCACACACACAAATACTAAGCACAGCCCATGGCCACCAAAAGATTGCCTTCTATAACTGTAACTGACAAAACAGAACAGCTGGGTTCCCCAAGAGGCTAAGTCAAACCCAAGCAATAGGGCTCAACAAAAATAAGCAGTATCACACCCTGCTAAGCAGGCCTGAAAAGGAAATAGCTCCTCCTGCCAGGCCAACCCAAGGCAAGGAGGAGTAACAGAGGACAACTCTGAGCAGACTACTAATCCCTCTTTTTAGGCAGTATTGAAAGCAAACCTTTGGGTGCCAAATGCACACTCTGGCATGGTGTGAGACAAGGAATGATCACAGGTGGACCAAGGTCACAAGAACACATGTACCCTCAAACACTGAAGGTTGCCCAGCCTGGTAGCCAAGTGGTCATTTGCAAAGGGGGAAGTGGGCAATATAGAAGAATACGAGTGGCCCACATCTGTTCTTTCTACTGTTCCCCTACCACCCATGAGCCCAAACATTTCCTTTCTGGTGACATGGTCAAGCAGCTGAGCTCTATCCCCACTTCTTCAGAAGCTGTTCAGGCTAAAACCTGCTTTCAAAATTATGAATCATTGCAATTAATTAACTAAAACTAGACGTTTCCTTTTATAAATTTTACCTGGTTAGGTTTGCCTGACTTGCTGTGCCAATGCAAAATGAACTGGATTGTGACTTAAAGCAGGGGTCCCCAACCCCTGGGCTGCAGAGCAGCACCGGTCCATGGTGTGCCAGAAACCACGCCGTGCAAACTAGCGAAGCCCCATCCGTGCATGCACAGGATGCAAGCAGCATGCAAAACCATGCTCTATCCAGTCCATGGAAAAACCTCTCAGAACCAGTGCCTAGCACCCAAAATATTGGGGGTTGCTGGCTTAGAGTACTGTGTGAATACAGCTAACCTGTCTTGCCCCAGATTTGCCAAGGTCTTAAGTAAGGGCACAGTTTGTCCCTGGGGTGTGAGCTGATACCCTCCCTCTCTCCCTCCCTGCTCACCTCTAAGTCACTGGTTGTGATCTGACTCAGGTGAATAGACGGGTGGGAGATGGCCCCCTTCACCTCAAAGTCACCACCGCCCATGCGGCTCCAGGTCTGCATGGAATCCAATTTGTTTCCATCAAGTGGTTGCTCAGCGCCCTGAAAAGACAAATTCACAAATTGACTGTGAGAAGGAAAAAAAAAAGCAGGTGGAAAGATGAGTGAGAGGAGCCAGTCAGCTTCTTACATGCTACTGCTTTTTTTTAAGAGCACCACATTCCATCAGCTGCTTGGCAAAGCTTGATGCAGGAGCTGAGAAAAAGGGCTCAGCGCTCACCCTGCAACAGTGCCCAGGATGGAGTCGGGAGACCTCTGATGGCCCTTGAGGGTTGTGCAGATCACTTCTGATTTCCAGTGCCCAAATAAAAAGACATCTGTTGATGAATCAGTTCTTGGAAAAAGGGCCAAAGTTTCAAAAAAGAATTGGCAATGAGATGCCAGCCATTACTTTAAAAAAAATAAGTAAACAGGATGGAAGGGCCTCATGGATGCCATGAGGGTAAATATCACTCTGGCAATGATCTGCCTGGAGAACCACACCATACTGCAGTCTTCCTCAGCTTCCAAGCATATAGGTAGTCCTCAACTTACGACCACAATTGAGCCCAAAATGTATGTTGCTGAGAAATTTGTTAAGGAAATTAAATTAGTAACACCATTAAGTCAACCTGGTTTACCCGTTGATTTTGCTTCTCAGAAGGCTGCAACTGATGACATAACCCCTGGGACACTGAGATTGTCATAAATGTGAGTCAGTTGTCAAACATCCAAATGTAAATCATGTGGATGCTGCAACGGTCATAAGTGTGAAAAATGGTCATAAGTCCCTTTTTTCAGTGCCGTAACTTTGAACAGTCACTAAGTGAACTGTTGTAAGTTACGGATGACCTGTACTTAATTCCTGTTTTTATTAGTCCCAACAAGATCAGGCACTGAATATGTAAATGCAAAGCTCATGAACATCATCTAAGCACATCCTGTACATGTAGTCCTCAATTTACAACCAATTGTTTAGTGACTGAACTTACAACGGCACTGAAAAAAAGGGATTTTTCACTTACAACCGTTGCAGCGTCCCTGTGGTCACATGATCAAAATTTGGCTGCTTGGCAACTGACTCATATTGATGACGGTTGCAGTGTCCCAGGGGGGGTGTCACGTTATCCCCTTTTGTGACCTTCTGACAAGCAAAGTCAATGGGGAAGCCAGATTCACTTAACAACCGTGTGACTAATTTAAGAACTGCATTGATTCATTTAACAAGTGGCAAGAAAGGTTGCAAAATGGGGTGAAACTCACTTAACAAGTGTCCTGCTTAGCCACAGAAAATTGTGGTCATAAGTCAAGGACTACCTGCATAGATAGTCTTGTGAGCCACACTGGTGGAGGATAAAAGATCCCCAGATGGATCCATGACCTGCCTGGCTCTTGTATCAGGGAAATTCTTCCTCCATTTCTTTTTTTTTTTCCTTTGGCATCTTATCCGCAGGCCCTTGTTGCATAATGAAATCCATCCAAGTTAGAAAATCCAAACCACTCACCTTTTTCAAATGTTTCTCCCGGGTACCTTTTAGCTGGAACGACAAAGAAAGAAATACAGTGAGAATTCTTGACCAGAGCATGTTACTTAAAGCAGCAATTGCCGACCAGTAGACTGCGGCCCACTAGTGGGCCGTGAGAAAATTTTGGTGGGCCACAGAGAAATCTCACCCCCCAAGCACCCCCCCAAAGCAATTAATCCAGGCTGCACGGGAACACAAGGCTGCGCCACCCACATGGCCCATGGGAACCCTCTCCACCCACTCACTCCTTACCTGGCAAACTTGCATGCTAAATTGCTATTTTTCCTTTTTCCGACCATCAGCTGTTCTGCTGTGCCCGGAGATTTAGATTAGCTAGAAAGCAGGAAATGGTTGGATTTCTAGCTAGTCTTTAGATCTTCGGCTCTGCTTTTAAGCACAGCTGAACCTCCCTTAGGACTGAAGCAGTGCACACTCAGATAGCCGAGGGCAGAAACACAGATCTCTGAATTCATCTGTGATTCTGTGAGCAACTCAATCTGCCTGCCTGCTTTGCCTGATTTTGGGTAAAAGTTGCTTTTTTTAATAAAAAAGTTCAATATTTACATACATGGTGTGTTGTGAATTAATTTTGTGAGTTTGCTTGCAAGCAAATTTTATGTGAGACTCAGCTGATGGCAGAAACACAGATCTCTGTGATTCTGCAAGCAACTCAATCTGCCCACCTGCTTTGCCTGATTTTGGGTAAAAGTTGCTCTTTTTTAATAAAAAAAATCAATATTTACATATTTATATTTACATACAAGCCATGCCCAGCCAGTCACATGACCAAGCCACACCCACAAATTAGGCCATGCCCAAGAACTGGTTGTTAAAAAATTTGAATCCCACCCCGGCCTCTGTGTGTTGGGGGGGGGGGTAGAGGTTAGATCAGATCTCTCTCTCTCCCACCAACGTCAGCAAGCCACCGTCAGTCAAAATTCATATTAGTGGTCCCCGGGATTTAAAATTATGAGTTTGGTGGTCCTGAGGTCCAAAAGGTTGGCGACCCCTGACTTAAGGTAACCTCTTCCAATATCAAAAGTAAGGAGCTTGGGGTGGAGAATATTGAAAAAAACTGGAAACCCAAATTAAGCACTGAAAAAGTTCAGAGATCCAGAATGACTTTCCACTGGCTGGGCAATTCTGGGAGTTAAAGTTCACAAGTCTTAAAGTTGCCAAGTTGGACACCCAATTTAGTGCACTGGCAAAAAAGAGTATGACTTGCTAATGTATCTTTGAGTTGTCAGAGCTTTCCCAGAATGGAAGTGAGCAAAACAATCTGGAAAACTGGAATCCTTGTCTCACCATTTTTGTTGGACTGTGACACTTTGCTGCACAAAGCCCAGGATGGCTCTCAAATCCACAGCATTTAACACACCCTTAATCCAGAGATTCCTACCTTTTAAGACTGGAACAGAAAGAGGTGTAGTTTGTACAAGAAATACAAATTGAAATAGTGCATTGTGGGTAGAGGCAGAAAATCATAAGGCAGGACTGAGTATAATAACCCCTGGTGTGGTTAGCATGATTTATTCAGAGAATCAGAAAGTTTCACTTGATCATCAACTCTGATAGTAGTAGTTCAAAGACCACAAATCAGGATCTAGCCATGTAATCTCTATGGGTATGGATCCATCACCACATGAAGGAACACCCATTCTCCCCAAAAGCATCATGTGACTCACCAAGGTATAACAGATGAGATCAGAAAAACTGAGTAGTAGCTAAGATGCCCAAATGTTACTTATTAAAAGTTATTTGTATGCTGCCTATTCAGTTTGCAATAAAACAACATGAGTGTTGCTAAAACCAGTTAACAAGCAACACCATAACAACTTTTGTTGCCCAAGCCAATAGCTTCCCCTACAAAAATGCTATCCATCCCCACCACCCAAAAGCTTTGCAGAAAAAGTATAAGCCTTAACTGCTTTGCTAATTAACAGCCTCAGTTGGAACAGGGAAGGGAAAATAATTTAATTGGGATCAAGTAACAGATGTCAAGAACTTTTGGAAGGGGAGTAGGGTAGACACAACAATGATAAAAAGTGCCATCATTGGGAGGCATAAGGGCATGGGAGACAAAGGGACAAGAACAAAGCTTTGATTCTTCAAAGCCTCCTTGCAATGACCCTGGAGCCTATCAGGCACAGATATGACGGGTAAAAAAAAGTGGGGGATTTTTGGACTACATGGGAAAGGAGAGACAGAATTGAAGGAGGGCTAAACAGGTCAAAGAAAATTACTTTGCCGTAACAAAGAATGAAGCGATTGGAAGAGACCACCGCAAGATGCAATGGAGGTTGTCCAACTGATGTGAAGTGGTGGGATATCCATACTGGAGGTTGGGCCTATCAAACACATTCCTGATGACTGCTTTTATACCCCTCTTGTAAGTCTGCTAAGATCATCTGGCTGACCAGCATGAGAAATAAAACTTTTGAATAGTCTAGGAAGAATCTTCTTGGCAGCTTCCCTGCTCCACTGGACGGTTTGGAGGACACTGCCTTGTCCTCTTTAGCCAACATACCCAGGCTGAGGAAATGGCTAGTCTTGTGTCAAGAGGGTTTTAAGCTTGCCCAACAAGGGCAGATTGAGTAGGCTAAAGCATGAGAAAGATCCCAGCCTTGCAGACACATGGGGCCTGACAGTCATAGGCTGAGCCCATGGCCATTCACCTTCTTCTTGGGTCCTGTCTCAGGAGCTGGGAGCTCCTTTTTGCGCTTGTGAGCACCCATCTGGATGAGACTCTCCTCAGAGGGTGGCGGGGGCAAAGGTGGTGCTGGTGGCAACTTCTTCTTGTTCTGAGCAGGCTCATCAGTCAGCTTCCACCGGACCCCTTCCTCACCATTGTCTGAACGCCGCTTCCCTGTGCCATCCCCCGAATCCTGAGAGGGTGGACAAAAGAGAGGCAGAAAAAGGCTCACAAACTGTGCGTAGCTTCTCATTTTTTCATCACTTTTTGCTGAATAAGCCACAAGAAGAATGCCTTCACCAGGCATGCTCAAGTCAAAACCAATCATATTATGGCTTAACCCAGGGGTCCCCAACCCCTGGTCCATGGACCAGCACCAATCCGTGGCATGCCAGAAACCAGGCCACTCAAACAAATGAAGCCTCATCTGTAGGATGCAGGCAGCATGCAAAACCACACCCCCTCTGGTCCACGGAAAAACCTCTCTCCATGGAACCAGTCCCTGGTGCCCCAAACGTTGGAGGCTGCTGGCTTAACTCAACCTGTCCAATTCTCACCAATGCTTTCAGGACATGAAAACATTGCTCAGAGGCAGGGCTGAGGAAAGCAGGCCAGATATGGATTTTCTGGACAGCACATCAAATAAAGCCAACCAAATTGTTCTGCACAAAGGTCCTAAGCAGAGGGGTCTATCTGAGAGACTGTCCTCATCCTTACAGGTAGTCCTTGACTTATGACTGTAATTGAGCCTGGGATCATAGTTGTAAGTTGTGCCAGTCATTAAGCAGATTGTCGCATGACTGACCCCATTTGATATTTTTTCTTGGGATCATTAAGCAACTGTGATTGTTAAGTGAACTCATTGTCTGCAATTGGCATTTTATTTGCCAGAAACCTGAAATAAACACCGGTTTCCAGCTCCCCCCAATCATGGTCACATGACAGTAAGATGCTGCAAATGGCCATTGTGGATACAAGCAGAAAGTATCCAAAATGCAATCACATAACTGTGGAGAATGGTGGTAGCTACAAGAACCTTTTTTGGGGTCCATCATAACTGAACAGTCGCTAAGCGATCAGTCATGACTAGAGGACCCTGTGGGGCTTCTAGCCCACACACTCTTTGATTTTCCCTTCTCTAGGATGGCACACACACACACACACACCAAACCACATACTTTCATTGATTTGCCTTCTCTCTTGCACTTGGGGCATTCCCAGCAGTTTGGAATTTCGTTGTTGATGACCGCTTCAGCGATTCCCATCTGCAAAGAGAATGACCAGTGTAGGTGAAGGGAATGGGTGTGGTACTCCTGAGCAGGGTTGGTGACTATGCAATGGCTCGCCTTTCTCACCTTCAAGCAGCCTGGATGCACAATCTCGTTGCAAATGGTACACTCCATGAGTGACAGGTTGAACTTCTCCTCTTCACCCTCTACTGTGTCCTCTTTCCCAGCCTCCCCACAGACCAGGCACACAGCCGTGTGAGGTAGAACTGGCTGCAAGGAGACAGAGGACAGAAGTCAGATGTAAGAAATGTAAAATAGCAATAGCACATAGACTTCTATACCACTTCACAGTGCTCTAAGCAGTTTACAGAGTCAACTTATGGCCCCCAACAATCTGGGTCCTCATTTTACCCACCTCAGAAGGATGGAAGGCTGAGTCAACCTTGAGCCTGTAAGAACTGAACTGCCGAACTGCAGTCAGCCCACAGTCAGCAGAAGTAGACTGCAGTAATCAAGCAGGAAAGCTCTTTCTACTACCCCTAGTAGACATCAATCGTCTTTGGGAAGTTTCCTGGAGGCAACAGAGTCAAGGGAGGCCAGTTGGGACACTGTTCACAAACCCTCCTTTGCACATCTTTTAGCAATGAATAAAGCTGGACTTTAAAAGCTGCACTTAAAACATTACACATCCAAAAGGAAGGGAGTTTTTCAGTTCTCATCTCACAGAAAGTGTTCTAAATAGGGTGCTTCCAGCTTACAATATTTTCAATGTGAACTATTTTGTACCTCTTATCACGTTCTGTAGTTCAGCATCAAGAGACATCAGACAACACAGTTCAGTTTGAAGCATTTATCCTTGAAAGCGTGAAACCCAGCACAAAGTGACCAAGCAAAGAAGCAAAACAAAGTCAGCACTGAGGTTTATTCCTTCACCCTTATGTGCGTCTACCCCACCCCCTGGCATCCGCCCACATTTAGTCAGGCAGGATCTTCGTGTGCGCACCCGCCCCACCCCCAGGCTTCTGATTGCCTATGGTCAGCTGTTTCAGCCAGGTCTGGTCTCTACTCCCCAGCTGATGGCATCTCCAAAGGCATTCCCGGCAGCTCACAGCCCAAGAGTAGTGGCCTGGTGTTCACCCAGTGCTCGGCCATTTCGCTCCTCAGCTGACAGCTCACATAGCAATGGTGGATCCTCCCCCTCCGAATAGCAGCCCCGGGATGGCTCGCTCATGGCTGGCCGTTTTGGGGCTGACACCTCTTGCTTTTAAAATAAGGGGGCCAGCCACAGGAAGAAATGGGACAGGATGGAAAAGAAAACAGGAGGAGGGGTTTGCAGCAGCCTAGTGGATGAAACATAACTTTGGTCACAGAGATACCATAGAGGTCTACACCTGATTTTCCAGAACAACTTCAGACATGCACAAAAGGCCTCGGATGACTCAGTTTCTGGGCTGCACCGTATCAGGGAAGGGGAGTTGTATGTCGGAATGCTCAACGAAGAAATGGCTGTATGCAGAAAACTAACATATGAAGTGAGTAAACCACCTTAACATTCTAGCTTTTTTGAGACAATATGGCTTATTTGCTTTACACAGTACGTCTCTGCCTTTACTTACAGCTCTCAGATGTGAAAGATGCAGAAAAAGGATGCATAGTATTAAACCACATCAGTCCACAGACAAGAACTATATGGAAAAACTAATCATGTCAAGAAAACTAGTTTGAAACTCTTTGGGCATATTAACATTCTGTGAACTTTAAAGCTTTTTTTTTTAAATCTGAGAGATTTACGTAAACTCTAGAATCGGGATCCTGAAGACAGTTTAGGGATGAAATGTACATTCTTTTTCCTCATTATTTAAGCAATGGGAGAGCTGGAGGTAAAACATGTGTCTCTGTTTCTTTTCTATTCCAATTTGAGGATTCAGGAATATTTAGCTGAGGCAGATCAGATCTGGAGTGCATTTTTCTTCATCCTCAATAGGATGAGGAACCTGGGCCCTTTAAGATGAGAGGTTCTACGACAACTTGCCATGGCCAACACACCAACACACCATGGGACAACTCACCGTGGGACAAGTTACACTAATATCAAAGAAATAATGGAATTCATTAAATGATGCCAAAGGAAGGACAAAATGAAATGCAAACGACAAAAATTAAAATAATTTTTATTTTAAATAATTAAATTGAATTGTTGAATTGTCCCACAGTGAGTTGTCCCGTGGCAAGTTGGCCATGTTGAATTACCCCACAGTGAGTTGGTCATGGCGGGTTGACTGTGATAAGTTGGCTGTGGCCGGTTTGCTGTGGCAAATTGTCCTATTCCGAAGATGAGACACCCCCCCAGTAAGCTTCACCAAGTTGACTGATTGGAAGAGCTGTGGTGGTGCGGTGGTTAGAATGCAGGATTGCAGGGTAATTCTACTGACTGCCAGCAGTTTGATTCTCACTGGCTCAAGGTTGACTCAGCCTTCCATCCTTCTGAGGTCAGTAAAATGAGGACCCAGATTGCTAGGGGCAATGTGCTGACTCTGTAAACCACTTAGAGAGGACTGTAAAGCACTGTGAAGCAGTATATAAGTCTAAGCGCTATTGCTATACAGGAGTCAAAGAGCCAGTCATTACATACAAATAGAAATTCATGCCATGGGTCACCATTGGCGGTGGCTGCCGCACCTCTCTCACTCACCGCTGTGCACTGCCTCTGCAGGCAGGACTGCTTCATGCGTCCAGGACCCCCAAACTTCTTCATGTCCTTACAGAAATGGCACTCCCCACACTCTGATCGCAGGCACGCTTTACACTTCCGGCACCGCGTCCGCCGCCGGCGAGCTCCAGCCCCTGCCCCTTTGCTGGACGACATTGGCTATGTCCCGCTTCAGCTACTCTCTGGGCTGCAAAAGGAGCAAAGGCAAAATAGGCCAACCAGGCAGGTAAATATGGTGCTCCAGATCGGCAAGATGAGACGGACAATGAAGTGTTTGGTGTTTTTTTTTTTTTTTTTGGGGGGGGGGGGGGGAGAAGGACATGCAACACAAAGGAATCAAGATTTTTACATAAAGGTAGTCTTCGACTTACAACAGTTCATTTCGTGATCATTCAAAGTTATGATGACACTGACTTATGACCATTTATGACAGTTGCAGTGTCCCATGGACACGTGATCACCTTTTGTGATCTTATGACAAGTCAATGGGGAAACCAGATTCACTTAACAGCTATTTTACTAACTTAACTGTGCAGTGATTCACTTAACAACTGTGGCAAGAAAGGTCATAAAATGGGGGCAAAATTCACTGAACAGATGTTTTGTGTAGCAATAGAAATTTTGGGATCAACTGTAGTCGTAAGTCGAGGACTACCTGTATATGCATAAGAAAACAACACATTGCAAGGAGAAAAATGTCCTGCAATCAAAGGCACACATCATCAACACTGGGCAGGGGGGAAAAACCAAAATTAATCACAGCAAAATGAATATGAGTTAAAAAATATTGCATCACTTTTTGATTTAAAAGAATGATTTAAAATCAGTAGTACAGGTAGTCCTTGACTTACGACTACAGTTGATCCCAAAATTTATGTTGTTAAGTGAGAATTTGTGAAGTGAGTTTTGCCCTATTTTATATTTCTTGCCACAGTTGTTAAGTAAATCACTCCAAGTGACAAGTTAGTAACCTGGTTGTTAAGTGAATTTGGTTTCCCCATTAACTTTGCTTGTTAGTAGGTCATGAAAGCATATCACATGACCGTGGAATGCTACAACAGACCTAAGTATGAACCAGTTGCCAAGCATCAAAATTTTGATCATGTGACTGTGGGGATGCTGCAAAGGTTATAGCTATGAAAAACGGTTGTAAGTCACTTTTTTCAGTGCTGTTGTAACTTTGTACAGTCACTAAATGAATTGTAAGTCAAGGACTACCTGTACATTCCCATGGAAAATAAGTGAGATGATATTAACTAGCACACTGATCCAAGAAAATCAGTTCTATGAAAATAGAGAGCCAAATCTAGGGGGATTCCTTCACAAATTTTGAAGGAAAAGGAGTATGATCAAAAGATAAAAAAAGAATTGGAATTATTTTTAAGGTAAATCTGAAGCAGGATAACACCCTGCAGAACTCATGCGACACCACTAAAGCGTACATTAGAGGGAAGAACTTCAGGGAATGATCAAAAACTTGAGTGCGAACTCCAAAAAGATCCTAAAAGCATGGAAGCGAAGAAGAAAATGACCCTTGCTAGCCATAAATTAAATCTGACACTACAAGAAGAAAGGGCATGAAATTTAAAATTTGTAAAGCAAAACTTTTTTGAATTTTCAAATAAGCCGGGCAGATGGTTGTCTTATAAGTTGAAAATAGAGAAAGAAAAAAGGTTAATACAGCAACTAAGGAATGAGAAAGGGAACGTATGCCACCAGATGGAAGAGAAAAAAAAAAATGTGCAAAATTATTTTGGGGAGCTGTATAAACAGGAAGAACTTATGGGGAAGAGTATAATGCAATATTTGGAGGAGAAAGGTTTAACTCCAATTTCGGAAGAAAAGAGAGAGATACTAAATAAAGAAATAACATCAGCAGAATTGAAGAAAGCAATTCAAAAACAGAAAAATAATAAAACCCCAGGACCGGACGGTCTCCCCAGTGAGCTATATAAAAACATGTATGAAATTTTGGAACCAATAATATTGGAAGTATATAATGAGGCATTATTAGAAGCCAGACTACCTAAATCCTGGTCCGAGGCATACATCATCCTAATCCCAAAAGAAGGTACCGATCAGCAACTAATTCAGAACTATAGACCAATCTCACTGTTGAATCCCGATTACAAAATATTCATGATATTAGCAGAAAGGATGAAACCAATATTGAGTGAAATTATACACCCCGACCAGAATGGTTTTCTACCAAATAGGCAGAAAAGGAACAACATAAGAATAGTGTTAAATGCTGTTGAGTACTATGAAGCCCATCCCGAAAAGCAAGCGGCGCTAATATTTTTAGACGCACAAAAAGCTTTTGATAATCTAAATTGGCAATTTATGTTACAGCAAATTAAAAAAATGAATTTTGGAACGAATATTGAAAAAACATTATGGGCAATATATTCTAGACAAAAGGCAAATGTACTCTTAAATGGGGATCGTACGGACGATTTTAAAACAGCCAAGAGAGTGAGACAGGGGTGCCCATTATCGCCTCTGCTATTTATCCTGTCCTTAGAAGTGTTACTAGCCCAAACCAGACGAAACTCAGAAATAAAGGGGATTAAAATTAGGAAAGAAGAGTATAAGGTCCAAGCATTTGCGGACAACTTAGTATTTATTGTAGAAGACCCACTAAATACTGGACATATGTTGTTACAAGAAATAGAAAAATTTGGGGAGGTGGCTAGACTTAAAATTAATAAGGATAAAACTAAAATGATAGTTAAAAATTGTACTGCAAATCAGAAAAGAATTAGAAAGAAAAATGGGATTACAGATGGCAAAAAAGGTGAAATACTTAGGAGTATGGTTATCCTCTAGATGTTCTTCAGTTAAAGAAGACAAGTATAGTAAATTAGTAAAATAAAAAAAGATCTAGAATCATGGGAGAATTTACAACTGTCATTACTGGGAAGAATTGCAGCAATAAAAATGAACATTTTGCCCAAATTATTATATTTATTTCAAATGATTCTGATACAACTGGATAAGTTTTTCAAAGAACTAAATAAAATAACAATTAAATTCATCTGGTTAAGCAAGAAACTGCACATTAAATTGAAAATGCTGCAGGATAGTAGGAGCAGAGGTGGTTTTAGACTACCGGAGTGGGAACTCTACTATCAGGCAGCGGCATTAAATTGGATAAAGGATTGGGTAAATTTAAAAGATAAGAGAATTAACAGTAGAAAGTCATGACCTCCAGATAGGCTGGGATGCATTTTTATGGGGAAAAAGGAGTAAGGTATATTCTTACTTCTACAGACATCAAATAAGAGATTCACTCATCCAGATTTGGATGAAAATCCAAAAGAAACATTATATGAAGATACCCCGCTGGCTGTCAACTATGGAGGCCATGATCCACCCGAACAGATTGGATATAAAAAAATGGTAAGTTAATAATGAGTTATTAGATAACCAAGGGAAGCTGAAAACAAATCAGGAGCCGAGAGAACAAGGAATTATAATTGATCAGTGGCCATATTTACAAATACAGGGTAGATATAAAAAAGTATCTTTTATCACATGTGGTGGTTATGCCCCGAGACCAGGAAATATTGGGTCAAAATAAAGAACTGGCTTCAAGAGATCACCAAACACCAAATTGAACTTAAACCGGAATTCTTTTATTAGGAATAATTACAGACCAACACCCTAAAAAGATTAAATATATTATACTACATATTTTGACAGCAGCCAGAATAGCTTTCGCACAATTATGGAAAGGAGCCAATATCCCCTCAGAAGATCTAGTCATACAAAAAGTATTGGAATGCGCGGAAATGGATAAGCTCACATTGGAAATGAAAGACAAGGAGAATTCCTAATATTACGCAATATGGGAGAAATGGTATGAGTGGCTAAAAATAGATATAAAGATTAGGAAGAATGGATTATTGTAAATAAGGTAAGAGACCTGAAGAGATTGTTACTGTAGATATGTATATAATAAGGTATATAAGATATACGTATTTGTTGATGTATATAATAAGGTATATAAGATTATGTATTTGTTGAAATACAGTATATACGGTATATCAGATATATGTATTTGTCGATGCCAAAACGTTGTTACAAATATAAGTGAGATTTGTATTTTTGAAAAATGTAATAAAAACAATTTAAAAAAAGAAATCAGTTCTATGAAAAAAAGAGAGCCAAATCTAGGGGGATATAGAGTTGGATGACTGGATTTAGTTCTAGCAGGGCCATTCAACAGAATTTTCAAGGGTCATTCTCAAGTTTTCAGTTGATCATAGATCATGAGTTGTCCACTGTTTGTGTGAACGCTGAGGGTTATTGCAAAGAGCTCAAAGGCAGGAACTACTGGAAAGCTAACTGGAATTTCTCTGCTACCTTAACCTTGGATAAGTTAGGACAATGTTCCTCAACCTTGGCAGCTTGAAAACATCTGGCTGGGGAATTCTAGAAGTTGGAAGTCCACGTCTACAAGTTGCCAAGTTTAAGAAACACTGGTTTAGGAGCTAGCTAGGTGAAAACTCCTGCCTCTTTAAAGAACTCTGGGCCTGTCTAATAGTTGTTTAAAAGAACACAGATTTAATCCAGTGTTTTTCAACCTTGGCAATTTTAAGATGTGTGGAGGTCAACTCTGAGAATTCCCCAGTCTGAAGGTCATATATGTTAAAGTTGCCAAGGTTGAAAAACACGGGATTGATTAAAGAGCAGAATAGACTACTCCTTATACCACTACATACACAACAATATTTATTCAGCTCTGCAACAGGAGAAAATTATCCAAACTCACTGGAAGAAGCTGTCAACATGCACAGAAACACTTTTCCTCTCAAGAATAACATCAAAACTTTTGCATGCAGCTAGTTTTTTGACTGTGCTCCTCAAAAATGTATTTGGGTCTCAGTGAGAAACTATTTTGCTAGAGCAGGAAAAAAGAGTGATTTTATAGCCTCCTAATTTCCAAGATATTTTCTCTACTAGGGTACAGCTAAGATCAGAGGCAAATCTTAATGATGGTTACACACATGGCAAAAGTAAAAATAATTTTTTGACAGGCATTTGAAGTTCTGTTCTCCAAAGATGAACGTATCATGTCAACTGCTGTCGTCTAGGTATGATGAATAAAATCCAACCATGTTTTTCTAGGTACTGTATATACTCGAGTATAAGCCGAGTTTTTCAGCACATTTTTTGTG